AAAAAGCTTGCTTTGTATTTAAATTAATTGTAAGGATATGAATTCTGCGTTTATGAAAAAAAGCATAAGTGCAAATGTTTTAATCTTAAAGTTTTCTTTTACTACACTGGAAGTTAAACAAAACCCCCAAAATATGAGTTGAATTTGGAGCACAGTGTTTACTGAAAGTCTCTATAAATAATTTAAAATCACTGATGGAGGATAAAACTTCGGCTCCAACTCAACTTTGGAAAGTTGAAACTGTGTTCAGTGTGAAAACCATAAAGCTTGTTTGCCAGTTCAACTGGTCATGAAGGACTTTTTTTCTTTCTCAGAAAAATACCAAAGGGACATGAGGTAGAAAAGATTTAATTGGCAAGTCAAACTTTTTCACAGTTGCTGCTTTGTTGAAGTAGCCTTGAGTTTAAATTTTTTAAATTTCCAAGTTTTGACCATCTCTTGCAACAGAAATAAAAAAGTATAAGTTTTAAGACTTTTAACTTGACTCAAAACACTTTTTGGCATAATGTCTCATGAGTCAGAAAAGGAAAATTAAGTTTAATTTTACCAGTTAAGCTAAACTTGTGATATAATTTCTTTAAAAAATTGAAATAAATAGAAGTTTTAACAAAAGCAAAATCAGATCTTTTATTCTTTTATGTTCCTGACATGCTTGCAAACAAGTTTAAATAAAATATGAATTCAGCTTATTCTGTATTTTAGTGAGAAAAATGTTCTGGATCTCAGCAAAGGAGGCAAAAAGAGAGCGAGAAATCCAYGGAGGACTTCCAGTTAGCATGAAATCATTCTCCCACTGAACACTGGTAATCAAGGCCCAATCAGCTGCAGGGACACAAGATAAAATCCATCCATGAATGTGACCCTTCAGTGTGAAAGACAGTCAGATGGTTTAATTTAGCAATCGCCACCCGGTTCAAATATACGACTGGGTCCATTTTGTCTGAGCTCAAGCACAAATCACCAATGTGTAAAAGTGGGGAATTACACACACTTCAACTCTCAATCAAGAAAATAAAACCTACTATTTCTCAGGTTTGCAATAAACTGGTACAGCAGAGCAAAACAAGCTGCCATTTCTTATAAAACGCACTCGTTTTAAAAGTGAATAGGAAGTACAGTAGGCAATAACCAATCATGGCCAGGAATTACTGGCCGTTGCCAGGATACCAAATTTTTCGTATGCGAATCACCTTGGACATGATGAGATTTTGTGCAGGTTTGACACTTGAATGCATTACATCATTCTGCATATTATGCACTTCAAAAACTACTTGGGATGCACAGGGGGTTGAATATGCAATGAGGAACGCTGAGGGGACCCGTGGAGGGATGGTAGACAGAATGGAGACTGGGTCCATGCAGGAGGTGCTGAGTCTGTATGCAGAGCGCACTGTACAAAAAAAAAAAACTGAAGGTATATTTTTATTAATTAAAATCCTGAAGCATGAAAATAAAGAGCTTCACAAATATTTTCTTGATGCCTAAAATACAGTCTGTCAACCAACTTGATCCAACACATCGAAATGAGGATTAAGTCAAATTTGGTCAAAACGACCTAATTACATTTTCCGATTATTGGCTTTAAAAGTTGCATTTTGATACCTGGATCATTCTGGTATCATAATTAAATCCATATATATGACTTAATTTGTCTTGTTGGTTACAATAATACATAAATGTTTGGTCTGAATCCTAATTTTATGTC